CAAAGGCTCTTTAAGTTTACTGTATTTCTCTCACTAACAATAGCTCTAACTAGATAATAAGCATTAGTGTTTGATTGACATTATGAGTGGGCAAGATCAGGACTCAGGAGTGCTGTTTGGTCAGTTTTTGTATGCACGCTGTCAGCCTGTTGATGTTTCTCTGCTTTTCATAAGCTGAATCCAGGTGGGGTGTGTTTCAATCCAATGTGGAAGCCTAGTAATGCCTGCAAGCAACTTCAATGCATGGCAGAATGGCAGCAGGCAGATATACAACAAACTGACATGGAAGTTGGAGCAGCCCTTAAGTTTGTTTAGCATATTTTTCAGGCACTAGTTTTAATTCCTAGATCATGTCATTATGTAAATTGTGATGTTTCATTGGTAAGCACTGGTTCAACATTTTTAATCAATCAATCAAACATTTTTAATGATTTCACATGCATAAAAATGTTTCTAAAATACCTATAGGCAAAAGAAATGGGAACTAGAATAAACACCAATTCAGGTTCAGACAGACCATTTTTGTATGATGCCAATATCAATATTGTCAGCATAATGCTCAGCATACAAATTACTTATTGATCACTTCATGGTTACCCTCTCAATCTCCTGCCAGTCCTAATTTCTTGCTTGTCATTTGTGATTGTGGGATAGGGTTTTCATTGTAACAATCCATGAGAGCTCTGGTTGATAGAAGGTTCCCTTGGTATGGTCATGGAGGGATTTTGGCTGATGGGCATTGTCAGAGAGGGTTCCCTAGGTATGTTCAGGCACTGGCGGATGCAGGGGGGGCCACGGGGGCCATGCCCCCCCCCCTAAGGCCTAAAGTGGCCTGTTTGGCCCCCCCCAGAAAAACGCCAGAAAAATTGCTAAGGAAATATACCTTGATGGAGGTTTTTAGCCACTTGGTGAAGTAAAGCTTTCCACAGCATAATATGGAAGCAATATAGTAGCAGTGAGGGTCAGTCAAAAGTTGCGCGAGCGGAGTCGACCTTAAAAAAAGACTGTTGTTGGCACGTGTTTATGGCGCGGCAGCTGGCAGTTGGCGGTGTTTCGCGTGGTGTGGCATCACTGGCGGATCTGGGGGAGGGGGGGGGGGGGGGGCACGGGAGCCTGAGGTGCCCCTGACAGGCCTGTGGTGCCCTTGCTAGGCCTGTGGTGCCCCTGGACCCTGGCAGGCCTGTGGTACAGTCCACAGCAGAAGTAATGTGGGGTTTCAGTCATGGGTATGTTCTGCTTCTGAAGCTTAGGAACGATTAGCCAGACTACAATGAAACTTTGAATGTAGCTTATATGTATCGTCACCCTTGCAGCTGCAACTTTAGCTATTGACATCTTCTTTTCAATCACTTCGCATTAAACAATCGCCAGTCAAAGCCAACCGTTGAGTTTGGTAAAACCCTACATTACTTTAGCGGTGGGCTGTACCTCTGGCGGGCCTAGGGTGCCCCTGCTAGGCTGCTGATGCCCCTGGGACCTGACAGGACTGTGGTGCCCCTGACAAGCCTAAAGTGCCCCCAACAGGCCCGTGATGCCCCCGACAGGCCCAAGGTGCCCCTGCGTGATGCCGTGATGCCTGCGAGGCCGGTGGTGCCCCCTGCGAGGCCGGTGGGGCCCCTGACAGGCCCATGGTGCCCCTGCTAGACCGGTGGTGCCCCTGGCAGGCCTGTGGTGCCCCTGCTAGGCCGCTGGTGCCCCTGGGCCCTGACAGTACTGTGGTGCCCCTGACAGGCCCAAGGTGCCCCTGCAAGGCCGGTGGTGCCCCTGTAAGGCCTGTGGTACCCCTGCTAGGCCTCTGGTGTCCCTGACAGGCCCATGGTGCCCCTGCGAGGCCGGCGGCGCCCCTGGCAGGTCTCTGGTGTCCCTGACAGACCTGGGGTGCCCCTGACAAGCCTGTGGGGCCCCTCACAGGCCCGTGGTGCCCTTGCTAGGCCTGTGGTGCCCCTGGCGGGCTGGTGGTGCCCCTACTAGGCCGGTGGTGCCCCTGACAAGTGACAGGCCTGTGGTGCCCCCGGGCACCAAGGGGGTCATGACCCATGTGGCCCCCCTTGGATCTGCCACTGATGCATAATATATTGATTTGTAAAGGCGTTATGGCTTATGCAATATGCAATTGCAGGCACTTGGTATCCCTCACTTATCCCTCATTGGGGCTCTGGCGGGCTCCTGAGGGCCCACGTCTATCTCCGGGAGCCCATATAGACAGGGTCCTTTGGGTCCTTTCAGTATACTATAGCATAAGAGGTCTCCATGCGAGTCCTATACATACATCTGAGGGCGTACCCTGATGTCTGAGGTACCCAACTGCAGCTCCAATGGTCTCTTCTTACACTGGCGGATCCAGGGAGGGGGCATTTAGGGCCATGCCCCCTTCCCAGAGGCCTAAAGTGGCCCGTTTTCCCCCTCCCCCAAACGATAATGAAACATAGTTCAATCAGGGCGTGGCCCAGGAGCCGAGTTAGACAGGGCTGTTTTACCACCTCCCGGCCCGCAAAGGGACCCAAGCACTGACTCGAAGCGGGTTAAAGAGACCCTCCCACCTTCAAAAAAGTTAATGAATTGGCATGAAAGTGATGTCGCTAGGTTCAGAAAGGGCGAAAACGAATATCTACCAAATTTTATCGAAAAATATTCACCGGTTTTCAAGAGATTAGACTTTTATTTTTGTTTACTTTTTGGGATATCCGCTGCTGTTCCTAGCGACTTTATTTGAAAGTGCGGCATTGGTTGCGCGCAAAGCAGCCTATACCACCGCATGCTACCAAACGTTTTAGTAAAATATTAAAAAATCATTAGATCTCCACTGACGTCACACATTCAGAGGGGTATCCAAAAGCATTAGCCCCTCTGAATCAAAATGCTGCAATTTTGAAATTCAATATTTCCGATTTAAAGCATTTCTCGATGTTGTGAGTGCGTGCCGAAACCGGTAATTGTGAGCCAGGGACCCCATTTTGGCTATCTCAGCTCAAATCTAATGTTAAGGTGGGAGGGTCCCTTTAACTGGTCGATAAAAACAATGGTAAGTGTTTGCAAAGTAATATAAAGGCATGGGTCGGGTGGGCTACCATTTATATATTTTTCTTTTTAGTTAAAAAAATTCATAGTGTCAGGGCTGTGACGAAAAATAAGTGGCCTAAATCCGATGAGAAAACAGGATTTGGGGGTACCCTAGGTTTGGCTCCTGCATGAGTTGCCCCCCCCCCCCCAAAACGCAAGCCTGGATCCGCCAGTGTGTTCAGGGATGGCTAGGTTTTAGAGATGGTTAGGTGTGGCCAATGACAGTGAGGGTTCTCCAGTCCTGGTATTGTCAGACAGGGTTTCCTGGGCATGGACCATGGTCAGAGGGGTTCCCTGGTGCAGTCAGAGAGGGTACCCTAGTATGGTCAGAGAATATTCCCTAGTATGGTCCAAGAGGGTCCCCTGGGTATGGTCTAAACAGGTTCTCTGGGTATGGCCAGAGAGGGTTTCCACTTTCCTGGTATAGTATTAGAGAGTTCCTTTAGTAGGTATGGCCAGAGAGGGTTCCCTAGTATGGTCAGAAATGATTCCCTGTTATGTTTAGAGAGTGTTGTAATATTGTCAGACAGGTTTCCCTGGTATTGTCAAAGAGGGTTGGGTATGGTCAAAGAAGGTTCTCTGGGTATCACCAGAGTTGGTTTCCTGCCTGGTATGGTAAGAGGGGGTTCCTTGGGTATAGTCAGAGAGGATTCCCTGTGTATGGTCAGAATTAGGAGTCCCTGTTATGGTCAGAGAGTGTGCCTAGTTTCGTCAGAGAGTGTTCCCTGTATGGTATGGTAAGAGTGTTTCTTGGGTACGGTGAGTCTATGAGAGGGTTATATGCTCCCTCATATGGATGGAGAAGGTTCCCAGGTGACCCCTGATTGGTGGTGGTCGGAGGAGGGGGAGTCTGGATACTCTGGAGACCACCCCTCCGGTGTTTGGTCGGTAGTAGCTCTCTCTGGAACAGCTGATAACCTGGACTAGTATCTTGTCACGAGCAAGAGAGGTCATACAATAATTTCTCAGTTGATGTTGATGTTGATGTTGAATAATCAATTTCTCAGTTGATGGAAAAGGATGTGACTGAATCGTCATCTAGTTTTTGGTTATTGGCTGTTTTTTTTTAACTAATTGTGTTAGCTAAAAGCCTCAGTTTTACATTGGCAGTCAATCTGTTGAATGAAATTCGTATAATAGACACTCGGGCTATGACAAAGGATTATCCTGGCCAACTTTAATACCCACATCTATCTTTGCCGTGGCGCTAAATGACGTTGACACCCACGTGTCACCTTCACTGAATTGCCGTGCAATATGTGACTGTTTTTCCTAGATGCCCAGGCCCAGCTGATAGGGTTTGTAAACATTGACCGAACCTTATAGGCCAAACGTCTGGGTCATGTGCCATTAAACAGCGTGGCCTCCCTAAATATAAACTTTATTGCAAGGCATCCCGGCTGACACCGACCCTGATTAAACTCCGGCAAAGTTGGATGACCAGGAAAATTGTTTCCAATTAGTCTTCCCAGCCAAACTTGTGACGGTCAAGTCGGGCGAGGAGCCGGAAATTCGCAATGGTTTGGTGCACCGGTGTTCCGCGATTGAACTGGAACGGGCAATGAAAAGTCAGTATCGGTAAATCACCACGTCTAGGGATACTTCCTCGATGGATCCGCTCACATAGTCAGCCATTCTAAGCGGTGACGCGCGTCCTATCACCGCTAGGTGGAGCTCCGGTCCCGTTTCCGCAGGGTAATTTCACGCAGTGATTGAGGTGATGCCAGTTTCGATTCGCCGCGGCGGTGGTGCCGTGCGATTTGAGAGGCTTCCTCCTAGTGTTTGACTGACAGTGTGGGGTCCCTTCACGCATTGGGACCTGCTCTACTGGCGGGTGAGGGACGGCGACAGGCTTCAAGGAAACCATAGCAGCTTATGGGTCTTTTAGCTGTGATTTATATTTGGTAATTTTACTCATTTCGTCCAGCGCAGAGCTGAGTGTTGGGACTCCCAAGAGAGGAAGCAATTGCGTTGTGCCTATGTAAGTTCGGTGATGGCTCAAGCTTTCTTTATTTCATTGCAACATTTCGTTAGATTGTCTTACTCTTGGCTACAAAATAATGTAAATGACATTCGTTAATTCTACTTTCAATAGGCTTAGCATCCCTCATCCACAGTCTATATTCAGAAACTATATTTTAAATGCAAGGTATGCTCTAAAAGTAATTGCTTGCCTCATAGGTAGCACGAATCATTTTGTATATGGTTGCTTTTATATCATGTTTACTTTTCGTATTCACAAGCTGCGCCGTTGTTCGGCCAGTCGCACGGAGTGTAGGTTGTTTTTACGTGTTGACTTTGTCGATTTTTTCGGATTTCTACCAATCGTTGAGCCATTGCCGTTACTTCGACTGGGAAACATATGGTTGAAAATCAATCGAGCGTCTGTCTCACTGCTCAGAGATCAAGTGGTCGCTGGGGCTGGCCGTGAGGACTTTAATCTTGGCACCTACTGAGCGTGGCTTAGTCTAGCCGTGGTCTCTGCACCTTGCTATCGACCAGTAATTGAGTTTGTCAAGGTTTGACGTTGAATTGAAATAGAAAACCAGCAGCTAGCAACTGGTGTAACTACCACCTTATTTAAGACAAACCTGTGTTTGCCAGAAGCGGACAGCATTTAAAAGGGGTAACCCTAGCGGGCTCTGGACCCACTTCGAAACAGCCGAGTCAGTATTGCAGATGGCTATCCTCGAAGGTCATCGTGTTGTTTATAGAAACTCAGACGACAGTAGGACATGTTGCGTGATATTATCTGATCCTGAGCAATACGCGTGTTCCTTTGGTATCGTAAAGTGTTTTAATGCCGAGTGGTATCAAAAGATGACCGCTTGCTGCACTGATAGTTACTGTACTGTGCAGATCATTGCCTCTCCGTGCACGTATTGTCTTGATATGCCTATTGTTATGAACCCCACTCGTGGGCTTTATCTAATCCCGCTCTGTTGAGAGCCGCTGATATGCCGCCCTGAGTCAGTCGCCGTCAGTTGACTGCCGGTGTTCTCCTGACGCTGACCGTTCTCCGCTGTGTCCCCAGAGCTGGGGGATGGCTGAGCGGGGCCCGAGCCGGCCACCGCAGCGACCCAGCACACTGCAGCTGACGCGTCCGCGGCCTCTCAGCGTCCACTCGCCGATCGCAGACTTTGCCGACAGTCTGGCCGAGCAGCTGGTGAGCTCTGCTGCCGCCGAGCTGAGACACCAGACCCCGCCGCCGCCTCCGCCGCCCTGCCGACCCGGCCACGGACGGTCGCTGAGCCTGCACTCGGCTGGTAGTGGAACGAGCTCAGGGGGAACGCAGAGCGCGCGGTGTCTCATCAGCAAACTGGGAGACGCTGACCTGGACACGGAGCCAGCGCTGTTCAGTCTGCGCCACTCCGCACCCGACGAACCGCTCCACATGACCCTAGAGGAGGTGCGTCGGTCGGTGTGTGAGCTGCCGGCGGCGACAGGGGCGGCGGCTCGGCCGGAGGCAGACTCCCCGCCGCCCCCGCCCCCGCCCGTGTCGCCGCCGCCGCCACCGCCGTCCGGCGGGGTGGGCCGGCGGCCGTCACTGCCGCTACTGGGGACGGGAAGAGGGCTGCGCTGTGCGCCTCTCTCCCCGCGCCGTGTGCTGCAGAGTCTGGCCCGAGTCCGTCAGGACCTGCGACAGCTTCTGACACCTCGCCGCGACCGCCGCCCGAACGCCACGACTGCCGCGACTGAGCGTCCGCCGGCCCCGTCCGAGACGCCGCCGCCGCCGCTGCCGGAGCGGCCGCCGCCGGCCGAGGCTGAGGAAGAACATGACGACCATGATGACGAGAACTACCTGGACGGTAGCGGCATCGAGGACCTGGAGATGCTGGGGATCACCGAGGGCTGGGGACCGTCACCGGCGCGCCGCGCCTCCGCCGGCCCGGCCGACTTCGCCACCATCATCGAAAAAGTCAAAGACGTGAGTGTAAATCGACATTTGGTATACCACTGCTGGGGTTTTGCTACCGCTGCACTTTTGGACTGATGACAATTTTATAAGTGAGCACAAGAAAAAAAAACAGTCGAAAAGACTCTTCCAGCGTCTGTTATCACTTGTTACCAACCATGTCACATTACCAATTCCTTGAACAGTTTATAAAGGCTTGTGCAACTCCGTTGCTGAATCCTGATTACCCGTCTAACCCACTGACCCCTCTCTCTCTATCCGCAGTGCGGCTGGTACTGGGGCCCGATCAGCTGCTCCTCTGCCGAGGCCATCCTGAAGAACGAGCCGGACGGGTCGTTCATCGTCCGCGACAGCAGCGACGACCGCTACATCTTCTCACTGACGTTCAAACTGCGCGGCCTCATCCGACACGCGCGCATCGAACACAACAACGGTGAGATGGTGATAATCTAGGACCTGAGAGATGGTTCGGGGCGGGACGACAGATGTGGGACAAGGGTGGAGGCACTGGAGAACGTATGTTTTCACTAACTGCTTTTCGCCAAGTATCTGGAAGGGGTTGATACTCATTTCTGGTCTGTGTTGACTGTTTCATGTGTTTTCGAACCTGAAAGTTGACGATAGGCTTATCAGCTCCTTAACCGGTTTACTTGGTTGGTGCGATATTACCACTAAAGCCTACTACTGCGTTCGTTCAGAACGTGTGCGATACTTTCTTCTAACGTCCCCTTCACGATCGTGAGGGTTTCCACCGTACATCCATCACTGTTCACTGGCATCATCCCCCCTCTCGCCGTTCCATAGGAAACTTCAGTTTCGGCGGTATGCACAAGTTCCGCAGTAACACCATTGTGGATTTCATCGAGAACGCCGTGGAGTACTCGCGGAGCGGCCGGTACCTGTTTTTCCTGCACCGTCGGCCGGCGCACGGGCCGATGAGGGTACAGCTGCTCCATCCCGTGTCACGCTTCAAACACATCCAGAGTCTGAAACACCTGTGCAGGTTGGTACAGGGGTAACTGGGGTGGGAGGAAGCTAGTTAGGTGGAGGCGGTTGGGTTAGGGCAAGAAGGGTCTGAGCGGATGTGTGGATATGGATGAAGGTAGGCCGTTACAGGCGTTGTTACAGGTGTGGGGTGGCCGGTGCGTGAAGGTACAGAGCGTATGGATGTGGGTGTGATGTGTGTTAAGTGATCTTGCTGATGTAGACATGTTGTCATGGGAAGGACTGCATCAGTTTTTGGGATGCATCACGGAATACGGTATGTAAACCGCATCAGCTTATGTATGCGCCCAAAACTGTCACTCTCCCAGGGACACTGACATTTTGTTTTCACGTTTTTCAGGTTTGTGATTCTGAAGCAGATCCCGCGCGACCACATCGACCAGCTGCCGCTGCCGGAGCCGCTGAAACACTACCTCAGCTCACCGTGCTACTTCTCTGAGCAGCTGGAGGAGACGACGTGAGAGACACCTGGCGGCGTCGGCCGCGGCTGCAGTTCGCCTCCACCGATATGCGTCGCCTCGGTCGTGCACAGGTGAATACCCTGACGCTGAGGCTCTGGGAGGCATTTCTGGTTAGCTGGAGCGTGGAGGCTAGTTGCGTTGAGTTTGGGGTAGCCCGGCACCCGTTCTGTATCCCTGGAGGGTTGAACACCACACCCTGCCTCTCGGCCGGATGCTCTAAGGTAGGACTGAGGGCGAACCGCATGGGGCGAATGGCGCCACCCCGGCTCACTCGCTTTGGGTACAAGCTGGCAGATTGCTTTAACCCAAAAGCCGGCGCTCGGCGTCGCTTCCCTGTGAGTCTCGCCAGACTCGGTGGTCGCGTGGAGCTTATCGCTTGATAGTTAGTTTTGTCACAACGCGGGAGATGTCTTTTGTTGATGCTGTGTTACACCGTGTGTTTGCGTGATACGTCCCGCGGCTTTGTCTCACTTTATTTATTTATTATATGTTGTTGACTGATAGAGCGCTGGTAGAGGCTGCCGAATGTGTTATGCAGAGTTCTGCTTATGCTGAGCGGGGGCAGAGCTCTGCACCAGAAGACTAGTCGTTTGTCCCAAATCTGTTCTATGTTTGCACTCTGGTGGAAGATCTGGGGCGTCTGTCCCTGGTCCGGTGTATTTGTGGGGTAAATATTGGGAGCACTTGCGGTATGTCCGTCACCTGCGCCGGTCGCCTAGCCACTAACTCTTGCACTGAGGTTCTGTCGTGGCTTTGGCACTGCCTGTGAACGCCGAGATACGAGAGCGATCACTCCGACTTGTGTTTTAAAATTTGACGGCGGTTGATCACTGATTTCACTGACAAACTGTCATGTGTGCTGAATTGCTTTCGTCAATATTTCGACAACCCGTCTGAATCTCTTTCCTCTCTTTCTTTGAACGTGACGTGTCGCCTGTTTTACCTCCCGATTGTGTGTGATTCTCAGTGACTTGTGCTGCGTTGTTTTGGCGTCTAACCCGTGCACTCCAATCCGCTGTGCGTTTTGTGATTGTTTACACCGACGGGCGCCCGTTAAGCGCCGGCCTCGTCCGCCACATGTCGGTATTTAGTCGCAGTTGATGTATGTACTTACCCCGCGCGCGCGACTCCGAGAGAGTGCGAGCTCGGTTTCTGTGATATCTAGGCAGCGGATGAGAGCGATACTATCCCCAGAGAGAAGCTATATAGATGCGCGCGCCCTCGCCGAGCGGTAGCCCGGGGTCGGGAGCCCACGGGGGCCCGGTTAGAGATGTCCAGTCGCGTTCAGTGTTGGTGTGCCGCTTGTTAAATTATTCCGCGCCTGTGTGCGACGTAGCCGTGAGGGCGACAGTATTCTGAGTGAGCTTCAGAGCTGTGACTGAGAGCTGCACAGTAGTCCAGAGCGAGCGGTGTTATAGAGCTGCGGGGAGGGAGGGAGACAGAGGGAGGAGCGAGCCGGGGGATACCTAGTGTAGCTGGCAAAAATTGGCGAGTATATATCTATGTCACCGCCGTGGAGCGTTATTTGAATGTTATAACTAATAAAGGATAAATTATTCGTCACCAGTGTGTTTACTAAGTGACATGAGCTGCCACCAGCGTGTGCTGTATGTGACAGCACTGGCTGGGTTGCACAATGCACGTACCGGTGACTCGGGCCTAAATCTATTCAGTCTTCCCCAACCTTCAGTATCACGCGCTGTCTTAGCAGCTGTCATTGAAAAAGGACCAGCTGTAGCCGAGGTTGTGCTTGCTCTAGCTTTTCCGTCGGTCACCCTCCCTTTTTCGAGATCTGTACAGTTCTGCCTGTTCTGTAGCTCGGATGGTAGAGCGCTTGGCTCCCGGTAGTGAGAGCCCGGGTTCGAGTCGCTACAGCGCTCGATATTCGAGACTCGGAGACTCCTGATGGAGATGCATTGCAGTTGACGGGAGCAGACGCAGTCACTCCATGTCCGGGTGCGTAAGCCGTGACAGGTTAGTGGACTCCGGGCGGACGTCGCCCCCCAGACACGTCAAATTCATCCAGGATATTCAGTGGTGGATCTATCCAAATGTGTTCGTCAGGGAAGTCTCTAAAGCGATTGACAGCACCTCTTCCCCTCAGCCACACAATCGCTCAGATTACATCCGTGTATTTTCAATATTGCGACGCTGACCGGCGCCCGCCCGGCCGTACGGACGCTGCTTCTCACAGAGGTCCTCCTCACGACATTTCACGAGACATTCCAGTCCGCCGTTCTGCGGACCCCGCCCGCCGATACACGTAGAAAGCTCAAACACCGGTAAAAACGAACCAATCCCACAGTACGTCGTCGCGCACACTGAACGACACAGGTCGGCTCGGCTTCACGGTACAAAAATAACAAAAAACGACGCGGCGGTGACAGACGCGGCGCGGTGCCCGGCTCAGTCCGTACACTAGTGAGAGGCAGTACAAGTATCGAAGGACAAAACGCAGAGACTTGGAGCTTGGTAGCTTGGAGCTGGCGAGGAGCCGTCAGAGAACTGGTTGCTCGGACTCGGGAGCAAGGGCGTATATGCCACCAGAAGATGGGATAAATAGAAGAAAGCCAGCTGATGCGTTGGATACAAGTGTATCGAGATAAATGGTGAGTGATATGACCATACATGTGTAACTGCACTGGTAATGCAGGAAAGCCAGCAGCAGCTTATTGTGGTAGTAGACCAAAGCCAGATATAGGAGCCAGTTCACCTGTCTAGCAGTAGCACCGTCAGCAAAGCCAGGATTGACTCAGGTTAGGATAACCACACAGACAAGAAAGGAGACGAAAGACCGCCGATGTCTTCCAGAGCCGCTCATCGCCCCACGATAGGGCCATAGCCACAGTCTGCGGGTAGCACCGCGCCGCACATACATTATACAGCCTTAACACCACACAAATCACAACGGAATGGCTCCCCACACACGGCAGTGCCCCGCACACGCATCCACGCGCATGTAAACAAACACAAAACACATGACTCGCCGCAATGCTACGCGGCCTCCACCGTTTGAAAGATCTGTATTTGGTCATCCAGCGTTAAAAACTTAAATATGGTGTCCGAGCGAAGGCCGGTGTGCACAAAACAAGCGCAAAGACGACAGTGTTATGCCCGTCATTAAGCAGATCTTTGATCACGTTTACCGCTACCGTCGCTATGGCAGTTAGCGCCGCCCCGCGGCTAGGCTAGTCAGCAGTAGTTACCGGTTCCACCGACAGGTGGCCGGGCCGGCGTGTCCGACCACCAGTAAATTAGCAGAGCAGAGCCGAACACCGACAGCGTGCCGTACCAGCGACCAGGCGCAAATATCAGGGGCGTGCACGGTGCTTTACTCAGGAGCCCTGAAAAGAGACTTGCGATCAGCATCAGCACAACCAAAGGTTGTCCCACACACTGGATCATGGAATTGGACTTCGACGCATGATGCAATGATCTTTACCACTGTTCCGATCCAAATAAATTGAAAACCCGTTTTAGTTTATGTATCCAAAAAGCCTTACCTATTAGTACGTCACTATGTTATATGGTGTTCATTTTCCACAAATATAAGCTAGAAATCAACTGCTGAACTCTAGGTCCCCACCTCTCTAACTCCGACTCTCTCGCTGACCCATTCTCTCACCTCCCATCCGGGCGGCGCCGGTATCTGGGCCGGCGCCGGGGGCCGGCCTCATGTGACGCCCAGCGTCCACTCGTCGCGCGCGCGCCGGCACTGGAACAGCCATTTGACGATGCGCGCGTTCTTCTCCACGATGGAGGGCTCAGCGACAGCGGGCGGCAGGAGGCGCAGGCCGCCACCGTCGCGCCGCCGCGCCGCCGCCGCCGCCGAGGACGCCTCGCTGGCCACACTGGTACGCCGGCCGCGCGACCGAGACGACTCCGAGAGGCCGTCCCAGAAGCTGGGCGTCTCCAGGGGTGACCAGTGGTCGGAGGGTACCCTGGCCAGGTGACCGAACCGCTCGCCGTCCATACCCAGCTGGTCGAAGAAGCGGCCCAGTTCAGTGGAGCACCTACGCGCGCCGCGAGCCGGCAGCGGCGGCGGCGGCTCGGCAGTCCACAGGCCGAGAGCGCCGCCGCCGGCCGCGCCGCGCCCGTACCGATGGCTAACGTCCGACTTTGAGCGGGTGACGGGCCGGTGGGGCCAGGCCTCCGTGTCGGCCCTCGCCCGTCCGTCGTCCGTGTAAGCGTCGCGTCGGTCGCGTCTGCCGTCACTAGGGGTCAGCGCCGATCCCGGGGAGCGGCTCACGTAGTCGGAGGTGGCCCGGCCGCGACTGCGCGCATCCGAGCGACTCTGTCTACCCGTCTCTGACGCTCCTCCACTGTCCGCTGAGGCGGAGGAACTGTCGGCACTGATGTCCGGCAGTGACTTGTGCCGGCCGCTGTCGGAGGGAGGGCGCGCCGCCGGACTGAGCAGCTGACGGAGACGAGCCTGGACCGAGTCGCCCGATCGGCGCCGCTCCGGAACGGTCGGCTCGCCGCGCAGCAGGCGACACGCGCGGCCAGGGCCGGCGCAGCCGGGAGATCTGGGGAGGGAGTGACAGACTGTCAGAGGGGGAGGCTAGCAGCAGAGACGAGGGGTTAGGCGGTTGAGCGAGACAGCGAGAGAGATCGACAGTTTAGCAGACGTCTGGGATAGCTGTCGCTTGGTCGCACGTCGCTTGGGCAAAACGACGTTAAGTGCGTGGGCAAGAACTAAGAAGGCAGACAGCCAATAAAGCCCAAAGCTGAAGCCATCTGACAGCTACAGACGAATTATAAACGGGTTCGCTTCGGAGTCACAGGATGTAACGGTTTTACTCGAGTCACAAATCGCGCCGACCGGTACCTCGTTACCGACAGGTCACAGGTCACAGGAACGTCACAGTAATGTCACAGGAAGGTTAGCGCGGGGTCATGGACCACAGCACAGCCATTCATCAGGCCCACAATCCACTTCCGCAGTTTATCCTGACGCAACTCAGTTCAATCAACGCATGACTGGCTAACCTGTGGCAACTGGCCATGACGATGCAAACCCGGTCAATGAAAAGGCAAATACAAAGTGCCACAAACATGCCTGCTAAGCGTAGTTTGGCAAGGCTGAGCCACCTAAAAACCATACGGCACTAGTACATCAAAGACATCCAGGACCCATGCATTTGTAGCATAGCTAGTTATGAAGAGCTATGGCACCTCTAGAGCAGCCAGAGCAGCCCAAGAGCTCGAGGTTCCGTTCATCCGGACACCCACCTGGCGGGCAGCGGCGGCGGTTTGTCTGCTGCGCCCCTCACACCCTTCTCGGGCGTTTTCCAGGGCGGCTTCTCGGGGGTGAGGCGGGGCGGCAGGGCGGCCGGCCGGGGCGGCGGCGGCGGCGGCGCGGGCGGCGCCGGCTCCGGCGGTGGTTCGCTGTAGGGCCGCGGTGGCCAGGGGGCGCGACACAGCGGAGCAGCTGTGACCTGAAGGTGGTCGGCGTGCTTCATCTCCTGCTTCGAGTCCAGCACCCGCTCCGACTTGACGTAGAACGCCTTGGTCTCCTGCAGCATCTCCACTGCCGACTTCCGCTTCCCTGAGAACAGAGGGAGGAGGGAGGTCAGAGGCCGCGCGCAGAGAGATTCCCACATTGTGATAGTGCTGGAAGAAACGTCCTGTACGCAACCAGGGTCAGCGGCTGAGAGTAGGTATTGGTAGGGGTACGTTTGGTCCGCTATATGGGCAGCCCTAGCTGCATCACAGAGGTGTCAGGGGTCAGGGAAGCTTGAGCGTGTTACCCCCGAGGCCCAAGAGATGGGAGAGCAATTGCCACTGTGAGCGCGTTTCAAACAAAAAGGTGTGTGGTTCCTATATTCACACGTCACAGAAGCACGTGACAACTACCAAACCGGTTTGAACAGGTACAGTAGAAAGCTCCCAATGATAATCACTGACATAAATAGTCAACGCAGGAGGTCCAGCAGAATGATGCAACCCTATTGCGTTGCAGAGTCTCAACATGTAATACACTTCCATTGCATATTCGTCAAACAGTTAAATCGCGCCATTATGCAGCAGGCATTGTATCACACAGCCACTGCGCCATTTACGACATACCTAATTTTCAATTCCCCCACCACGGCACTCATCGCTCGATGTTCCGTTCAGCCAGGTCCGGACACGCCAGCGCGGGCGAACAATGACGAGCGGCGCCCTTCTGACGAGCCCGGGCCGCGCCGCACGAGATGAGATCGGAACGGGACGGAGACAGAGAGACGGAGCGCCACCGTGCGGCGTACAATGGCGCTCCGGTGACCTGGCGCGGCGCACGGGACCGGGTCGGGTCACGCCCGTGTCACAGTGCGGCGGGTCGCCCCGGCCCGCAGCGCTCCGGGAGACCGAGAGAGACAGACTCGAGGCATTGTCTCGCTATCTGCCGGGGCTCTCAAAGACACCGTCTCGGTTTGGAGGGGAGTTATAGACGGGCGGGAGCGCGGCACAACGGAGTGTTTGTCTCACGGGGACCTAGTTCCATCATTCGGACATACACATACATCATACCTGTCCAAGTACCAGCACTGTGCCAGTGTCACTTCCTCACTGTGCCTTTCTAGTTTCTATCAACCCTCAGTCAGCCACACACAGAAACAGACAGGACATACATACCTACACAAAGACAGACACCTAGCCAAACCCGGCAGTCGGAGCCGGACCCTCCCAGTTCGACCTGACGGCAGCGGCGGCCGGCCTGACTCATCGTCCTGTATTTGGAGCGTCGGCCGGCCGACTGAGGTCGATGGCAGACACCGATAGCCGCCGGTGAGGGCGGACATTGTGAAGTTAACAGCCCGACATGGCCGCCGGCCTGGCCCGGCCGGTCCGGCTCTGTTCCCCGGGTGGACGGCGTGGTACCGCTACCGTCGGCTCTATGGGACAGTCACAGCCGGCGGGATTCTCCTGGAAATACCGTGTTTATGGTGTTTTGTGTTCTATTCTCATCAATAGAACAATGTCTTGGTGTCTGTCCAAATGTAGATGAGTTTGTGTCGGCTGGTCCAGTGTCTTTTGCCGCCGCCTCCATAGTCACGACAGGTCGGCGACTTCACTTCACGGGTCGGTCGATGTCATGGATTATAGTTATGGGCGCAAAATGACCTTGTAGTCGGCGCGCCCTTAAGTCCCAATAAACAAACAAACAAGATGTCATGGATTTAGGTTTAGGTTGGATAAGACCGGCACACAGTGTCAACGTCCAACCAGTAGCATGGCGACTGGCTCCCTTATGAATCAGATTCCCAGTACTGGGGGATGTTGGGGACTGGGGTGGGCATCTACCACGTGCATACTCCACGGAAGCGCTGGAGAATGGAGATTATCAATCAGCTCAAGAAAACACCCCTTCATTCCTCGCCAGGGCCTCGACTAAAACGGTTCACAATAAACCCTGAGCAGTTACCGGTTTACTCGCATTCATAGGATAGAGCTAGCTGATTAGCAGATGATGGTTAGTTCAATGTAGCCTTTGTCTGCATGAGATATGATCTCTTCCATATCATCATGTTTGCAACCAGCCAGAGCCGAAACTCGTGACCCAAGACTAACCTAAACCAAATTTTAGGTTCAGTCTCAAATTTGAGTTCCATCCCGCACTCGCAAAACAGATACAGTGCAGTGGAGGAAACGGCAAAGGAAGCTCCAGTCAGAGATAAGAACATCCTCAGTCGAGAAAACGACAGAGAGGAGACCACAGAGCAGCGGAAAACGTGACAGCAACGGACTCTCGAGACGTGAGAAACAAAATGATAGCGTGAGGATGAACTACCAGCAAGGGATAAATGTAGCGAGGTGCATGATGTTCTGTTGTATTTTCGGACAGTCTGCCACCTAGCCAGTGGTCGTTTATCAGTCCATCATCCTGTTTCAAAGCTAAGAAGGCTCTAACTAAGTCTGCGCACGGTCACCCCGGCGGTCTGTGTGTGATTCAGAGCCGCTCGGTACCGGCAGTGCCCGGTTGGAACGACAGAGCTCACCTGGGTAGCGTTCACACGACACGGCGACTTTCCGCCGGCCGTGAGTCACGAGAGACCAGCCGGCTGGATGACCGGTATGGACACGAAACGGCACACAGACTAGAAATGGTAGGTGGATACGGCCTGGTTGACTAAGGCCCGACACACGGACAGGCAGCAGGCACGGACAGGCCAGCAGACCTGTGTCCACTCAGTTGACGGCCCGCAGTGGTGAGCGATGGCGTCCAGCCGTATCAGAGGACAGTTGGAAAGCTGCACCATCATCTCCCCTCCCTCTCTCCAGCCAGCACTTCCTCCGCCCCTCTCCCCGTCACAGACCGCTGCAAACGGGCTATGTCGCGCCCTTGTAGCGTCTCGGAACCCGGCATGAGGAAAACATCAGTCACCGGTGGGCTGTGATTCGCCAACCGCGAGCCACAGCCGGGTCCTACACACCGGCAGATTGCAGACCTGGCAGACACACCCTACCGCTGCGGATACAAGCTGCAGCACGTTCCGCGTACCCGGGGTGCAGACGGTACCGGACGGAAAATCCGCTCCCCGCTCCCTGGGTCCACAATTCAGCAGCGGCAGACGGTGTGTTACCGCTTCTGGACCACATCAGAAGTGCCGCATGCCGCCTGAAATCACCTACAATCAGCCGTAAACATACATAGACTCCCACAAAAAGTGAGAACCAGACGCAGCACCAGAGGCGTGAACCAGAACCCACCAGAGCTCATCTGTGACACCGGCGTGGAGTCGCCGATTCGGAACGCCAGCCGTTGGCGGCGGCCGGGCGGCCGCGGCGCGGCTGAAATCCAGCTCCGGCGGAGGCGCCGCAGGTAATTCCGTCCGGCACGGTCGGACGGCACGGAAAATGACCGTGAGAACCGCCCGGCCGCGGCCGGATCACTGATCTGGAGCCGCCAACTGCCACAATCGAGCTGCCAACTGCCGTCAGCGAGCTGCCAACTGCTGGCAAGACTATTGCCAGTCACCACCTTCGAGGCAGCTTCGAGTCAGTTTCGAGCAGAATTCAAGCCTCTATCGAGCTCCCTTTGTATCAACCTCCCTTCGAGCTGACTCGAGCCACCACCACGCTGGACCTTTTTCGTGCGATCTATTGCGGACAAGATCGCGGATTCTCACGGCGTCGGTCGTTTTTCAAGGGCAATACGGTCACGGCGGAGACACTGGCCGGAGGAGCCACGCCCAGGTTCGGCCGAGGACAGGACGCTCCAGTCCCAAATGACCGCGGTAACGCCAGTCTCCCACGGGTGGAGAGTGAAACAGATGGTGGAAACATGACCAGTGTGGCTAAACTCTGGCCAGACTGCACAAATGTAGGAGCATGGAAGCCAAAAATGTGAGCCGAGCGGAGTGTATTGTGTGGATGATCACGGTAGGTTTGGAGGTGTGGAGGATTTATATTTGGAAAGGATCCGTCAGGTGTGTCGGTTTCTTTCTAGGCTTGTTGACAGCAGTCACCATTTATGTACCTACTATCATCTGCCAGAGAATCAGATAGCTTCAGATTAAAAAGTGGTAAAAACAGTAGTAAAAAGCAGTCACCCTTCGTCCTTCGAGTTCTGGAAAGGGCGGGGCCACCCCATGATTTCACCGCACCACAGGCTGACGGCAGCCCTGAACGCGGGGTTCCCCTTGACACAAGTCCGGACCTCACTCCAAAGCGCTGAGGCACGTGACCCGCCATCAGTATACCTGTCATGTGGCTCCACGCAAAGAAACGCAGCAGCGGTGCAGCCACAGGCACGCAACACATGGGGATAAAGTAAGTGCACGCATTGATTGGAAGTCTGCACACTGCGAGGTCAGACAAGAAACGCACGAAACAGGTGCCTGAAATATCTGGTGGTAAGATTATTTTTCACACACACACACACACACACAATGTTTATTAAGGAACCAAACATACATAAGAAATAAAGCATAATCAATGAAACATACAGTACAATAATTAACAACATAAGCGTGATAGCAGAGTGGTGCAAAAGCGCAATCGCTTGACTCGAGGCACCACTCTGAAACATAAGATAAAACATGTGAAACAACCGCCGCCGCCGCTGGCCAGTCGCTCATGAGCGGTAAATTTTGATGGTTCCAACAGCCGCCTAGCTCACGGGATCGCATGATGAAATTTTGAATAAATCATTTGATTACTTCGAAAATCTGCTTGTTTTAGTTAAAAAGGTTTGGAAGATGTATGCCATATCACGACTGCCCTCGCCACTCAAGCGATCTCCGTGAATTAGCATGTTGAATTTCCGGTCAGGTGAATAGTTTGCAAAATTCTCTCCGAGAATACGAGAAGCGTTATCGATTAGTTCTTTTCTTTGGGCATCATAATTTTGGCAGAATAGTACGTAGTGACGTACATCTTCTTTGAAATGACCACAAGAACATTCAGGCGTATCTGTTTTGTTTATTTGAAATAGATGTGAGTTTAAGCAAGACATATCAGTTCTTAATCGGGTATGTAAAATATTTCCGGTCTTAGAGCCAATTTTGTAGTAGTCTGGGGGTTTGGGCACCCCTAGTCGCTGAAGGATTTCTTTTTTGAAGG